GCTAAATCCGCCTATTGCAGATATTTCTTTTGGCCTCAAATGTTATATAAATTATTAATTGTAATTTAGTCGCATGACAAACAGACAAACCCATAATCAACTCTCGAGACTATCGGATGATCGTGAATTTAAATAGATTGAAACACGATCGCCATTATTAATAATTTAATTTAAAAATGGATACCCGGGAATATTTTTCGTAACAATGGTAACAATGAAAATCGAGAGCACGTCATTTTTTTTTTATCAAAACTTCCAATGTTGATAACTTCGCTAAGAATAAAGTAATTTGTCTGAAATTTTCAAGATATTCCTTATCTATTTTTATATTATTATCAGCTATTCATCTAAATCTTACATTAGGCATCTTTAAGTTTTTTGATGATAGATGGATTTTTATAAAATTGTCACCATTCGATACCATTATCGATTACATCGAATTGTGTGCAATTAAAGATTGCCACCGGCAGTGATGCCATTCTAGCACAAACTATATTGATAAAGTATTGATTGATTTTACTAGAAAATCTATAGCACACATGGAACCGGATGCCTTATTGCATTTGTGACCTGATATATTTATCGGGTCTGCGAGCTAACTAAACACTTTTAATGTATTTTTAAGCTAATGTATTTGTTATTATATTCCCCCTTTTATTATATAGTTCTGTGTGTTTTACGGTTAGATATAAATATTAAGGTCAACTGCAGATTTCGTCAAGACGAAAATAGGGTTAGGGCACGTGATTGTTGACTAGGTTGTGCGAAAACTGCAGTCGGCATTAATATTTAGACCTCACCGTGCTTTCGTATAAGGGGTCCCATCTTCATATTCCCGGTTGGTGCAGAATAGAAAGACGTTAAACTTCATTTTATTCCTTTTGTTGTTTGGGAGTTGGTTACGTGGATTTTCGGGTCTTACGACCCTTTATCAAATGTTTTAATTGCATCCGGTAGCGTACGACCGGGTTGGCAATGCAGTCACAGAAAGCGTTTTAATCATTGCACTGAGCCGCTTTTGAACCTTGGGGTTCAAATTCAAACTAGAATCTTCAAGACTAATATTACAATTTATATTAACACGAATCTCACTTAGTATTATTCATATTAAAATACCATTCGAATAAAATATGGTAAAGTAACATGTTTCTATATTGAACATCAAAGCCAGTTGGAATTCTGGCACCCCCCCCCCCCCCTAAAAAAAAAATAAAGAAAAAATAAAATGGCACAAAGGATAATCATTTTATGATAATATGAAGTGTTTTATTTTATTTTCAATGTATTTACTACAAACTCTATTCATGAAGGGAGGGGGTGGGGTGGATGGCTTAATAGTAAGAAAGTGCGCGCTGTATCACACGGTCTGCCATTGAGTTAACAGGCGGGGTTTCGATTCCCCGGTTGTACGTGACAAGGAATAGGGTCGCCTGTCCAACCTCGTGGGTTTTCTCTGGGTCCTCCGGTTTCCACCCACTGCTAAAATCTACGCGCAAGCGAATTATTGAAATAAAATTGAACCATGTGTTAGTCCCGAAATGGCCTAGTTTGTGTCGAGTGGACGTTAAACCCCATTCTCTCTCTCTCTCTCTCTCTATTCATGAAATAAGAACATTTATTTTTGTATTTTATGTAATATGAAAGTATAAAGTATTATGTCTGATGCAATATGTGGTATTAAAGGTCAACTAAATTCAAGTTAAGGGTTAAAAACGTGACAATATTTTCAGATCACTTTGTTATCTTACCTGTATTGTACTGCGTGTCATTGGATGTTATCATATCTTTAGAAGGTCACCTATAACGTCAAAGATAGTCTAAATATTTCAACACCCACCTTCAAGGTTCCGTTGAAATTACGAAGTTCATGTATTATAGTTTTTTAAAGGATGATTGGGTGGCAGAGTGGTCTGACACATGCTTTGTGATATCATTAGGTCTGTTATCAAGTGATGTCATGGGTTTAGGTTTGAACGTTATACAAGAAATACGTATGATTGCCTTCCTGGTTTCTCAAGGTACTCTGGTTTCATCCCACTTCTAAAAATCCTTGCAAGCGAATTATTGTCATAAAAATATGCCATAAAAGATATATATTGTTAGTGATCTAGGTCTTTTTCATTTTACCGTCATGGTGTGAGCCCTGGATATGCAACACATGTATCTGAATAAATTATTTTCTGCTGCACCCGGGCCAATGAAGACGGGCATACGCCGTACAGTGTAGTACTACGATAGAAATTTTGTCGGGATAGTGACGCTACGACCTTAGTCTCTAATTCAAATTGCAATTGTCGAAAGGTAGGCCGTAGTGCCTGTATGGCATATGCCTGTCTCATTATCCTGGTTGATGAGAAAAGTAGGACATTTATGTTAAACCCGCTGTATCATAAAGTCTGTCATTGAGTCAACTGGCGTGGTTTCGATTTCTCGGTTGTACGTGACAAGGAGTAGGGTCCTCCTGTTACCTCCCACTGCTTATGACCCCTATGCGCAAGCGAATTATTGAAATAAAATTGAACCATATGTTAGTCGCGAAATGAGCTAGTTTTTGTCGAGTGGACGTTAAACCCCATCTCTCTCTCTCCCCCCCCCCCCCCCCTCTCGCCCTTTTATTGTTATCTCGATTATCTAGGCATGTTAACGTAGTACATGTGAAAAAGGCTGCACCTTGACCCCCCCCCCCAATGACCATCAAAAAGTCACAGTAATTGGTCAGTTGTCATCCCCACTGTCACATTATTAATAAATATTGTATTGGATATATATTATTTTTAACACCGGAGTTTTTGAAATCTTATTCAAATTTAAAATTTTTATTCAAATTTGAAATTTTATTCAAATTTTATTCAAATTTGAAATTGTATTCAAATTTTATTCAATTGTCAATAAATAGCTGATTTCAGGGAGGTGAATAATGATGACTTTCGGTTATTCGGTAGTTTCAGTAACACGGTCATGTGTTATCTTCTCACGCCGTGTGATCTTATGTAACAATATGCGCATATTCATCATCATTCATGTGATAGCGTATACGTAAATGGGCCGATAATTGGCCTAATGAGTTACTAAATCTGATATTTGTCATTTGTCAGTATTCAATACAACTTCTATAGAAGAAACACTGGTTTCTGGTAATATTATCTTCCAATTTTTATTTTATTTTATATTGGGTACTTATAAAATTTTGAAATCAATTTCAATTCACATTTGTTTAAAGGCGATGTTTATGAAAGTGGGGACTCTTTGAAAAAATGACAACGAAGAAAGTTTGAATCAGGCCATATGGATCTGAAATGAAATGGGGTTTAACGTCATACTATTCCGTTCCGACTGGGCTAACGAAGGCGGGCATACGCCATAAAATGTGCTATGGGGGAAATTTTGCCCAGATAGCGGCGCTGTGGCCTACTCTTATATGCCAAGGGATCTTTTGAGTGCAAGCCAATGTGTACACGGGACCTCGGTTTTTCTCCCCACCCTAACGACTAGACAGCTGTCCTTGTCAGGCCCTCCGTCCTTCACCACTGACAAGGGGAAACCACGCAGGAAAATACCGGGAGCGAACCCGCGACCTCCAGGCTAGCATACGGGTCTGATAGACTAGAAATGAATCGAATCAACTTTTATTAAAATGAAAAGATGTCGGTTTTAAAACATTCTGCGTTCCTGTGCCAACAGGAGTAACGAAGACGGGCATAGCGGCATTTCCACATACTCTTCAACTGTCAAGGGGTTCTTTTACGTGCACGCCCATGTACACAGTTCAACCTCGGAGTTTTCGTCCTTTCCGAAAGACTAGATGCATTTCTTCTACACCCACCCTTTACAACTGAAGAAAATCAACTTGTACTATCCTCGAAGTTTCACAGATCATATTGATGAACAGGTCGGGGTTTTCGTCCTTTCCGAAGGACTAGACGTATTTCCTCCACACCCCAGCCTTTACCACAGAAGAGGGCAAAACTAGAAAAAAAATCAATTTGTACTATCCTGTTTTAGGACTTGAATGTAGCCTGAAAGCTTCACAAATCAAATTGATGAACAGCTCGGGGTTTTCGTCCTTTCCGAAGGACTAGATGTATTTCCTCCACACACCACCCTTTACCACCGAAGAGGGCAAAACTAGAAGAAAATGTATACTATTTTGAATATAGTCTGGAAGCTTCACAAATCAAATTGATGAACAGCTCTTGTTATAAATTCTAAATTGAAGTGTCTCGATCATTCGACATGTCGATCATAATTTGTTACATTGTATCTACTGCCATAGAAAATAGATTTACCAATCTTCTGAAACTAATTATTCGATTTTCTGCCTGACTTGTTACAATCCAGGGAACTATGTTTAAATGATACGAGTTAATAATTTCATATGTCATATTATACGAAAGCAAGTCTTGTCAAATATTCTCCGCTCAGACGCTTATTAGTCAGGACACGTACATGTCGGTATGTATTTCGCTTGTGTAGAGATCTTTGTGATTCTGAGTTGTTCTCTTAGGTTTTTGGAGTCACAGTGACTCAGTGAGTATTTGACGCTGGCTTACTATGTCCCAGGTTCGACCTCCATGTTGACCGAGCATATTTCTCAGAATCATTCAGTCTGGTTCCATTTTGTCTTTATACGGGACGGAGGAACAACATACTAAAACCAGAGTTACCATGTATAGGCCTACGTTTGAATGTATGACGTAATATGTCTGTCGTCATCAGCTCCGTTTTTACATAAAATAACGTCAAACCATAATATTTCATTTCATCTCTTAATAATCATAACTAAGACTGAATTTGTGAAGAAGAATAATGTATAAAAAGTATATGAACTTCTTATGACCTCGACTTAGTGATAAGTCAGTTATATGAACTTTATGCTGTCATATACAGGTCGCATTAGTTGCTATCTTCATTGACATACGCACAAAAAGATAAAATCAGAAATTCATAAACGGCCCCTTTAAAAGCTCTAATAACGGAAAATGTGTCTTTCTTTTCTTCAGAATATAACAAAAAGATGTCCGCGGGAATGTATTATGACGCTCGTGCATTGCCTAGGAAACAAAAGATATCCAAACCAAGATGGAAGCAATGGATTGAACTGATTTTGAATAGTGGTGGAAAGTTTGGACTGTCTAAAGCGTGCATAGTAAAACATTCTGGGGATATTGTAGCCTCGGTTGTAGGACTAGAAATAAACTTACAAGAATTCCAGGTAGGTTGATCATTTTGTTAATAATGCAGTATGATGTAGTAAATAAATAGAGGACAGTTGGTATGCTATAAGAGGGGACCCATGGTGACTTAACGAGTGGGCGCTGACTCGATAACCAAGGAGTCCCGGGATTTTCCAGCCGTGTATTTCCCCTTGCCTGTCGTGAAGGACGGGCCATCTAGTCATGCTGATCGGACCGTACTAAGAGTAGGCTGTAATCCGGAAACATTTCCCCCATAGCATAGTGCATGGCGTATATTTGACTTTATTATTCCGGCCCGTCTAGCAAAATAGACCGTTAAACCGGATTTCATTTCATTTCAGTGGGAATTCTATTAGGCATATTTAAACAAACGTAACATACTTGATTTAGGTGAAAATAAAATGTATGAATTGTGTTGGATCATATTTCGTTCCGTAATATTAAAGTAGTTAAGTCTCTAACTCAATATCATCCAAAGTCTTACACGTTGAAAATACGAATTATTTTTTAATTTACATCAACATTGATATTGTGATCTTACCGGGAAAAGATGGGATTCTGATATCCAATATTTAAGACAAAATAAACATTTTACCATTGATACACGAATCGTGTACCATAATGCGTTTCAGCGCAATTTGTAACAAGGGACTCGAAGAACGAGGTTAAACATATTGCACAAGTCATTTCAAATGGTGACGTCATATTCTAATCTAGGGAGCCTGCGCAATAAATACTATCGGTGTAGACTGGAATAACAAGACGCTGGACGTTGCCAAACAACTGATTTGAAATTACAGTAAAAACAGAAACGATTGAATGTAAATCAGTTTATATACATTTATATTACATTATTATATGCGTTCCGACCCATTTCTAGGTGCCAAAGAATAGCGATTGGGCTCCTTTAAATGTTAAAATTGTTACTTTAAAGGTATTCTCATAATTTTGAACACTAAAGTTTTATCATCCTACACCTGTGCACCATTTGAAATTTTACCGTTAATCAATTCCCATGATCTACACGCTAATGAAGACATGCGATATGCTATAAGGAAATTCCAACCGCCAAGGGTTTTTTTACGTTCCCGCCAATGTATACAGGAGACCTTGGTAGGGTGACCCACGCACCTACAGAAATACAGTCAACCGCTGATAGTTCGAGACTACCACTGAAGCGTGCACATTCGCCGTGTCGAGGCCAACTTTCTGACAGTATGATACTATAAATAGCCATGGCACGTGCAATTCTCTACAAATCTATCAACTATTACAGCCGTAAAAAAATTATTGTTGACGATTTTGAATAGCAGTAAAATTAAGCTTCTTGGTTATTACAGCAGATTTAGAAATTACGTTCGTTTCATTTTTTAAATCGCTTTATCATTAACTGTACCGTTAAGAGCGGCATCTTTTGGTTTAGTACAAATAATATCTCTGAAACACTCGGGTTAGACAGAAACATGATACTATCAGTAGTTTCATTTTACTTTTACAAGCTTCTTAAAACAATTGTTGAGCTAGCTAACGTGCTCATTTCTAAATTCAATTTCTTGTTCTAGCTTTCTGTTATGTTTCGTAAAAAAGTAGTCTTGATTATCCCGACCTGTCAATCAGCCCTAGAATGGTCGATAGACTGGTTAAGCGAGACTAATTTTAAAACAAGGGCACGTAACCTATCTTTTACTCAAAAGTGTCTGGATGTTATGGACGACACATGGAACCAGTTTTCAGTCTATTATTTATACATGATTAATGGTCATAGCTTATTAAGTACAACATGATCGTTTATTTAGTGACTATAATTGTGTGAAACTGATTTGAGGCTTGGCATATATATAAATATTGTGGCGAAATTGTCGAGATATATGGAGATATTTATTTATGGTGGGTCACCCTAACCTTGGTGTGTCACCTCACCTGAACGACTAGACATTGTTCCTTGCACCATTGACAGATGCTTGCTAATTACGTATCAGTGACTGTGTTTTATTTTTCAGGACCTCCACAAGGCGTTCAACTGTACGAATATCGATGTAGTGAGAGTCGGCGGAATAACATATTGCGTTAAAAGCCAAAATAGCAAACAGATGATAGCCTTCAATGGCGGAAAATACCTCATCATTACCAGATCTAAAACTCTTTTTATAATCAGTATCTGTACGTGTAAGAACAAATTAGATCTGGCAGCAGCCTGGTTGCAGAGAATTGGCGATAGCATAGATTGACACTTAATATACTTTTAACAAAATCATTCCTAGTAGTCGAGGTATGTGGAGCAATTTTCTTAATGCCAAAATGAATTCTACATGTAAATGTGCTCCAGTCATGATTGTATTAGTCTAAACTTAGTTTCAGAAGAGTGGGTGTATCATCAAATATCAGCAAAACGAGTCTTTGATAAAAGTGTATCATCTAAATATAACTAGGACGAAGACCCGGAAGTCTTAATCAATTCATCACATGAGTCAAAACATAATTATAAAGACGTCGTACGTACATACTTAAAATAACGATGTATGCACATACAAACCTAAGTATAAGATAGCGACGTTGTATGTACATCCAACATTATGTATGATAAAGACATTGAATGTACATCCCAGCATAAGTATAAGATAGCGACGTGGTGTGTACATCCAACCATTGCGTATGATAAAGACATTGAATGTACATCCCAGCATAAGTATGATAAGATAGCAACGTTGTATGTACATCCAAAAATTAAGTATGAATGTACGATAGAGACTTAGTATGTACGTCCAACATAAGTATGATAGGATAGAGACTTAGTATGTACATCCAAACATGAGTATGATAGGATAGAGACTTAGTATGTACATCCAAACATGAGTATGATAAGATAGAGACTTTGTATATACACCCAAACATAAGTATAAGATAGAGACGTTGTATGCACATTAAAACATGATATGTCCACCCATACATAAGCATGATACGACGGTACGCTGACACCCAAGTTCATTGGATGTCTGAACATTAAGTATGTATGACAAAGACGTTGGGTGTACATCCTAGCATTAGTATGCTCAGATAAAGATACGTCCTTAAGACGTTGTATGTGCATACTAATATAAGTATGATAAGACGTTGTATGTGCATATTAATATAAGTATGATAAGACGTTGTATGTGTATACTAATATAAGTATGATAAGACGTTGTATGTGCATACTAATATAAGTATGATAAGACGTTGTTTTATTTATTTATTTATTTTTAGAAATGGGATTTAACGGCCACGCGACACAAACTAGGTCATTTCGGGAGTAACATATGGTTTAATTTTATTTACATAATTCGCTTGCGCGTAGGGGTATTTAGCAGTGGGAGGAAACCGGAGGACCCGGAGAAAACCCACGAGGTTGGACATGCGACCCTACTCCTTGTCACGTACAACCGGGGATTCGAAACCACGCCAGTCGACTCAATGACAGACTTTATGATACAACACGCACACGCTAACCATTCAGCCCCCCCCCCGATAAGACGTTGTATGTGCATACTAATATAAGTATGATAAGACGATGTATGTGCATACTAATATAAGTAAACTCAGACGTTGTATGTGCAAAGTATGATAAGGCGTTGTATGTGGATACTAATATATAAATACGATACGACGTGTATGTGGATACTAATATAAGTATGATAAGACGTTGTATGTGCATACTAATATAAGTAAACTCAGACGTTGTATGTGCATACTAATATAAGTATGATAAGGCGTTGTATGTGAATACTAATATAAATATGATAAGACGTGTATGTGGATACTAATATAAGTATGATAAGACGTTGTATGTGCATACTAATATAAGTAAACTCAGACGTTGTATGTGCATACTAATATAAGTAAACTCAGACGTTGTAGGTACTAATATAAATACGATAAGACGTGTATGTGCATACTAATTTAAGTACGATAAGACGTAGTATGTGCATACTAATATAAGTATGATAAGACGTTATACGATAAGACATTGTAGAGGCATATTAACTAGACATCCTAACATTAGTATGACAAAGATGTAAAGTACACCAACCATAAGTATGAAGAAACATTACGTTTGTACGTGTGATCCTACAGAAGATAAACATTGTTGAGTGTATATCATAAAGACATGCAGTGGGAGTCGTGTGAACATGTATGTAATTAAATCAAAATGGTGTGTAATCCAGTTATTCGTATTTCATCTAATCATGTATATATATATATATATATATATATATATATATATATCTATAGTTTGAGATCAGGTATACATAAATATAACAACTGAATCAAAATATTATTATAGAACATAATAAAAGATACACATATATCTTGTCTGCTTAATGTATCTATTGTCAACTCAAAGAAAACACTTTTACCGGATATGAATAACTATAATTGTGTCATCCACAGGGCCCCCACAAAGGGGGAAGCTGAAGTGGGGGCGGGATATGCCCCGGGGCGACACATCTTGGGAGGGGCAAAGTGCATACCAGAATATTCAAAAGGGACACCTTTGAATATTTATGGACTAGCCGTCTTGGAGGCTGAGATAACAAATCACCGACCTTCGCTTTCCTGAACCTGTGTAAACCAGTTCCTATTTCAGCAAATAGAGGGGGTAGAATTATGATTTTTCCAAGATATATTATACAGAGAATCTCCTACTTGTCTTTTTTTTATATCAAAAAATATCAACACAAGTCCATAAAGTAAAAGAACGAGGCTCTGCCGAGTTTTTTTTTTTTACTTTATCAACGAGTGTTGATACTTTTTCATATCAAAAAAGACGAGTAGGAGATTCTATTTTATCACCCAATCCCTTCTTACATGCACAAATAAATAAATATAATTCTTTGCTATAGATTTCACTTTTACTGAACCTGGTTACATTACGACGTAGTTATACATCATTTTTTGACAGCAATTCAATGTGTGTGAAATAGCTTTATTTAACATCCGCTTCCACCAAAGTGATATCGCAGACAACAGCAATTCAACCATTGAAAAGCCCTTTATATTTACCAAGTTTGTTTTTTTTGCCGAGTTTTTTTTTTACTTTATCGACAAGAGTTGATATTTTTTGATATCAAAAAAGACGAGTAGGAGATTTTATTTTATCACCCAATCCCTTCTTTATGGTGGCTGATTGGTATCATGTCGTGATGTCGTGGTGTCGCCCTTCATAAGGCGACAACCCGACATCACGACATTATAACCCGACACCACGACAACCCGACATTTTTAACCCGACACTACGACATTTATTACCCGACACCACGACATTAAGAATGTCGTAATGTCGCGTAATAATGTCGGTTTGTCGACTTTATTTATCAATGTTGAAGCGGCCATGAATAATAGAGTCCTGCCCCTGCCGAGATCAAGTCACTATGGTGGCTGATTGGTATCATGTCGTGATGTCGCCCTTAATAAGGCGACAACCCGACATCACGACATTATAACCCGACACCACGACAACCCGACATTTTTAACCCGACACTACGACATTTTCACCCGACACCACGACATTAAGAATGTCGTAATGTCGCGTAAAAATGTCGTATTGTCGCGTAAAAATGTCGTGATTTCGGGTTGTCGACTTTATTTATCAATGTTGAAGCGGCCACGGGATCAAGTCAGCCCTCACTATCACATCCTTCACTAAGAATACTTACCCTTCACTAACTGCGAATCAAGCTGGCCCTCACTACCAAATTACGGGTCTTAATACGAAATTCCAGATATCATGCTACATATCAGTAGAAAGCACTTCACTGTTCTTTTCAAATATATAAATAATGTTCTGGCACATTTATATTTACTTGCCTTGAAAAGTGAAAAGAGGGAGGGGAGGGTATTTTAAATAAAAATGCGGGACTTCATCCAAAATTCCGTATATCTATACTGAAAAGAAAAGTTAATCCTCTCTTGAAATGTATTTATTATATTCTCGGCGGAATGCATATATACTTTTTTAAATTAAAATTGATACAAGTTAGGTAGCCTTCACTGGCTGAATTAAAGAGAGTGGTGGGGTGGGGCGAGTGTTTAATGTCAACATACGTGTCTTAATACGAAATTCCAGTTATTGTGTCATACATGGGGGGGGGGGGGGCTGAATGGTTAGCGTGTGCGCGCTGTATCATATAAAGTCTGTGATTGAGTCAACTGGCGTGGTTTCTTTTCCTTGGTTGTACGTGACAAGGAGTAGGGTTGCCTGTCCAACCTCGTGGGTTTTCTCCGGGTCCCCCGGTTTCCTCCCACTTCTAAAGACCCCTACGCGCAAGCGAATTATTGAAATAAAATTAAACCATACGTACAACCGGGGAATCGTGCACGTGCTAACCATTCGGACCCCCCCCCCCCCATATTTGAAAAGAACAGTGAACGTGCTTTCTACTGATATGTAGCATGATATCTGGAATTTGGTATTGACACCCGTAATTAGACATTGAATACCCCCCCCCCCACCTAATTACTTAATAGAGTTCAGTATTATCCAACTTTGATAGTTTTTCAAGGTAAGTAAATATAAATGTGCCAGAAAATTATTTATATATTTGAAAAGAGAAATAAAGGTGCTTTTCATTGATATATAACATGATATCTGCTGGAATTTCGTATTAAGACTGGTAGTTTTTACTTTGAATACCCCTACCCCCATCATTTAATAAATTTTTGTACCATTCGTCTTTGATCACCTCTCAAGGCAAGTAAATATAAATGTGCCAGCAAATTATTTATATATTTGAAAAGAGCAGTGAACGTGCTTTTCAGTGATATGTAACATGATGTTGGGAATTTTGTATTAAGACTCGTAATTTGGTAGTGAGGGCCAGCTTGATTCGCAGTTAGTGAAGGGTAAATATTCTTAGTGAAAGATGAGGTAGTGAGGGCTGACTTGATCTCGTGGCCGCTTCAACATTGATAAATAAAGTCGACAACACGACATTTTTACGCGACAATACGACATTTTAACGCGACATTACGACATCATTCTTAATGTCGTGGTGTCGGGTGAAAATGTAGTGTCGGGTCAAAAATGTCGTGATGTCGGGTTATAATGTCGTGATGTCGGGTTGTCGCCTTATGAAGGGCGACACCACGACATCACGACATGATACCAATCAGCCACCATACTTCTTACATGCACAAATAAATAAATATAATTATTTGCGATAGATTTCACCGTTACTAAACTTGATTACATTACGGCGTAGTGATACATCATTTTTTGACAGCAATTCAACCATTGCAAAGTCCTTTTTATTGATCCAGTGTTTTCATCAAGTCCAATTAAATAAAAGTTGTTCCCTTTTAATAAGAAAGAAGTTACCTTTAATAGAAAATATTATCTGTTCTTTGAAAATAATAAAAAAAAGTTGTTCCTTTTTGATTGACCAATCAAATTCATGTAAAGCGATATCGATTATGAAATTTATCACACAAGCGATATCCACTGTAGAATGTATTATTGTGTAATAAAGGGCTTTCGATCAATGGAGGGTTGAAGGGAAAATAAACAGAAATTTTACATATAAACAGATTTAATATATTGATAGTTATTTAGATAAGATGATAAAAGTATAAAAAAATATATTTTAAAATTGCATAAAAAGTCAACTGGCCGCAAGCACTGAACAAAACAGTTACAGTATGTATTATGTAAGCTAAATTTGCCTATTGCTGGTTTTTATTTGGGCTACATAAATTATTATTTAGACATTTATTCACATGACACGCCGATAATCGACTCTCTAGGTCGTCGGATAGCGCATATTTAAACAAACTGAAAAACCACCGCCATTTAATGATTTTTCAAAGTAACGCTGATATGCGACAAAATCCTATCTAAATCTTATTAAAACTTGTATGATATTTTATGATATTTTCAATAGATTAATTTTTAATTATCTGTTATTTTGGAACTAGTATAACAAGCACTATGAGCTCTCTATCTAAATCTTAAAAAATGTATCTTTGAAAGTGTTTTAATTGATCTGCATTATATTTTCAATATATTAATTTTGAATTACCTATTTTGGAACTATTTACCCAGAACGGTCAGCTCTTTATCTTACCTAGTGCATTTTTGAAAGTGTTTTGATTGATAATGTTCCTATCATTAAAATCCATGCAAGGAATCTATTGTTAGGAAAAAACCATTAACAGTCGATTATACTCTTTACCAGTTACGTAGATTTCTCGCCCCCACAAACACAACACAGTACACTTCAAACATATTTTCCGACAGGAAGCAATGTCTTCAAACTTATTTTCCGACAGACAAAACTTTTCAGCTCCCTGAATTGACAAAACTAGCAGCCGGGATTGGTTCGTGTGATCATATAAATTCGGGGTCGATATTACGAAGGCTGCATGCCCAAGTCACTGAAACCTTTAAAGTTTTTGGGACTTTTTTCTTTACATGCCCGATTTCATCGGCTAGTGATTGAGAACAACCTTTCACAAATTACCTCCCCTTTTCGCGCTTAACTGTTACGTCTCCACTGGCCCTATTTTCAAAGTTACCAGTTGGTGCGTTTTCATTACCTAATGGGGCTATGATTTTGTTGTGATACTTAAACATGAAATAAAACGAGATGGGGTTTAACGCTGTCAGGGAATCTTTACATGCCCGAAAATGTGTAAACGGGACCGTTTGTTGTTCGCCCCATATGATGGGAGCCACGGTGGCTAAGTGAGTAAGACGCGGGTTCGATCCCGGTGTTGGGCGAGAAAGTTCATTGGGATTGTTCGGCGTGGTTTCTCCTCGTCAGTGGTGCAGGGCAGAGGGCCCGACAAGGACAGCTGTATAGTCGTATGGCGTTATGCCCGTCTTCATTAACCCAATCGGATTAGAAATGGAAATGGAATGGAGTTTTATGGCACGTCAGCTCCAACCGGGATATATGGTGCCAAACACATGGTGATTTTGACAAGACAAATTAAACCAATATCACATAAATATATTTATATACATAAATAAAAACAAGTATCACAGACAATAAAGTTATTAAAAATAAATACAAATAAATATAAGTCCTTTATGTATAGGATATATATATACAATTAAAATTTGTAATAAAAGTTTATCCTAACAATTGACAATAGATTCCTTGCATGGAATTTAATAATAGGAACTCAGTCAATCAAAACACTTTCGAAAATACACTATGAAAGATAAAGAGCTGACCGTTCTGGGTAAATAGTTCCAAAATAGGTAATTCAAAATTAATATATTGAAAATACCATACAGATCAATTAAAACACTTTCAAAGATACATTATTTAAGATTTAGATAGAGAGCTCGTTGTGC